AGGGTTTATATTTTTAAATCAGGGTCCCTGATTTCCAGCTTCAGCCGTTTCCAGCATCAGCCGCGACAATTATTAATGAAAATACGTAAAGAATAAATTCCAAATGATGTAATTACTAAATTACATATATTATTGAAATCATAAACAACTCACCGTTAAAATAATTATATTAAACTTACTAACCCATCTATTTATTGAAATCGTGAACTCATTCACTGTTAAAAATCATTGTTAAAATCGTGTGAACCTATCCAATATTGAATTATGAATCAATACATAATTGAAATCATAAATCCACCCAGGATTAAAATCGCCTACTGTTGAATTGTAATTCACCCAACGTTGAGATCATTAAATCACCATTGCTAAGATCACGAACCCACTAACTGTTAAAATCATGAACTTTCTCTATCAACCAATCAACTAACATTCACTTACTTATTGGAATCATTTCAATTAATTTAACTAGTTTATTATGTTTAAAGCATAGTATGATTAGTAATGTACAAAGGATTAAATAAACTTTTACTTACATTATTATATGGATTAGCAAAATAATGATATGATAATAATAAATCAATGCAAATAGAAAGATATTAGATAAAGGTGTTTAGCTTAAATGTTTATCATTATGCCTACAGACAAAATAAACGTAAATAAGATAATGAATGAGTAATGAATAACTATCATAATATTTCAATTAAGAATGATTCTTATATACTAGTAATAAAACGGCGACGTTTTATAGGGCTGGAGCCTTCCTTGTTAGGTGCTTAAATTTCAAAATAAAATTTTCACAGTAGCACTATTATTGGATATTAGAATATACGTTAATTTTTCTAAATAGCATATTTTATAAGGTTATATTAATGTGAGAAGAAATACTTCAATTTAATAATTTATAAAGAGAGTAATCTCTGCTCTTCGCTAATCTTTGTTATAATCATGTACTTCCCCCAATTTTGTAATCTTTTATAAGAAATACTATTGAAAAGAAGATGGGTAGAGCACGGACCTTGATACAGTTACAAATGTAAACCTATAGAATATTCCTTATTTCAAAATGTCAAATACGGTTTGTGACAATATTAAACCTTGCGATTTGTGAATCGTAATTTCATGCATACCTAACTGGGGGGACGTCTAAAGCGGAGCAGATTCTTATAATATATATTTTATTGAATTAACATTAGGTTAGGGTCATCTTATATTGGGGTTAGGTTAGGTTTTAGGTAGTTATATATAAGCAAAATTGCTTTCAATTAACCTACCTGAGGCAGGTTTAGACTGCTGTTTTTTGTATTTTTCAGGTTTTTCGTTTTTATTTCTTGTTTTGCTTCACCAACGATCATCAAAATTCTATAATTTGATTGGTCAGATTTCACGTGATTCTGCTCCACTTTAGACGACCCCCTAATTGGGCGAATTAGCACCACTCCTGAACTATTTGTGTTTAGTGTTGGACCTGATATTATCATCTATTCTGAACAGCATTAATGTAGACAGCATCTTTCCAAGTTTATATATAATATCGACAGTTGTTCCCATTGCACCATTTATTAATTCGCAATTTGTCCAAATACAGTTGTAGAAAAATTCTCTTTATAATTAGGCAGAAATTGAATTTAAGTACAGAAACAGCATTGCGAAATTTCTTTAAAAGACTTTTATCATAATTAGAAAGCTGGCATACAAGTGGTAATGGCAAGATATTTTTGATTTTCTAAAAAAACAAGTTAGCTAACTATTTTTATAATTTAAGATTCTGCCAAGTGTAAATAAATATTATGTTCGTCACAATTTTGTATTTTTTTTCATTATTTTGATGCTTGCTTTTTATTGATTCATTATTTCGATAACTTAACTTTAACTGTTCCGGCCGACCTTTTTCTTCTAGCACCATTTCTTGTGACTTTTTGTTTAGGCGTATAAATTCTTTATGCTTTGCATCGATACAATAAATTATTAATTACTTTTGTAATTATTTTTGTTAATTGTCAATTGTCAGTTGTCTGTTTTATTTATTATTTTTTAAGATTTTTTTAATGATTGAATTTCTGATGAATTAAATTTTTACAGGGGACATGATTGTTTAAACCAATCTCATTTACAGGGGTGGGAGCCGGACATCGGCAAAATCTCTATGAGTATGACTCAAAGGTATTAAATAGGTTACCTTAGAGACTTTGATTAAATAAATGATTGTTGTATTCACAAACTAAATCAACAGTGATAAAAGAAGCTAATGAGAAGTGAGTAACTTAAATACATTGAAATAAATAATTAACATAATATACAATCGTGGCTGCTATCGCTGTTGGAGAGAAATCGACCATGCTACAAATAATGATCAGGTAAAAGTGTGATGTTTTTAATTGCTCAATCAGATGAATTTATTGAAAGACACTTGAAAACCATATGGAATCTATTCGCTGTCATTACAAGCTCTATTCTTGACAACTATACCATTTTCTAAAACAATGTTACTGGACCAAACTTATAACACAACTCAATTTTCCTTTAAACTTTAAGTACATAGAAAAACCACCAAGGAGATTTCCATATAGCTGCGAAAAGAATCAGTTTCATATGACGTGAATGCTGCTTATTTAAATCCAAAGCAGTCTTTGCATTAAGATTTTAGCTACGAAGCCCACAACCCATTTAACAAAGCTCCTTGTACAACTACTGTAACATGGAATCTAAAGCCAAGATCCTTCCACTCCTATTGCATCCACAGAACTTAACTGGTAAGGCCCTTGCACTTCTACTATATCCACAGAGCTTAACTGGTAAGATCCTTGCAATTCTACTGTAAGATCCTTGCACTTATACTATATTCACAGAGCCTAACTGGTAAGGCCTTGCACTGCTATTGCAGCCTCGAAGCTAGTTGCTACATAAACAAGGTCTTTGCAGTTGCAAATTTTAACTTTACTTATCAATGCATTCCGTCTAACACATATCGACATATTTGGTTCAACCCCAAAATCAACCAATCATGATTGAGAATTAACATATGTTTAAAATTTATTACAAGACGAATTTTCATAAGAGCGACCTTTTTAACCAACCTTATATTCATAATTAAATATATAAAAAATTATGACATCTATGTATTTAATTATAAGCCAAAAGTAAGTTAAAAAAAGGCCAGTTTTTTGAAACTTCGCTTCCGTATTTACTCTACAGCTTAGTGTAGACGTTTTATTAATTTTTATTTGTTTTTTATCTTGTCTAGATGCCTTTTTATTAGTTACAACAAGTGCTTTGTTTTGTTACTTTCTCAACGTTACTTAAGAGCAAAATTTCGTATAACGGTTTATCAAAAAAAGGCCCTAAAAATCAAACACGCCGATATGAACCAGCTGCCAAGTATTAAGTTTATTGATAAGTCACTGCAAAATGGGCGGTATGGAAGGGCGATAGAGCCGTCTTCCTGCAAAGCGAGCGATAGTAAAGAGAAAGATGATATCCCTCTACACCCTTGAATACTTTGTATTTATAATCCCTTCGCCCTATTGATTTCGTGTTGAATTGATATGATAATACTGTACCGTCTTACTATCAGCTACCATAATACAATGGGGTGTATAACATCGGCTCATATAATGATGATCATTAATCAAGATTTTTTATAGCGATAGTGCACTGTAGATCAGCGAAAATTTAAAAGTAAATACATAGAAAGCTCAAGTTGCAATAACTCTTGAACCAGCAAACCCACACAAATAAAATTATATTTGTCGGGTTAGTTATAATGTGCTCTTTAACGTAATAACGCTCCTTTTTTTTATTTCTATTGTCTGAAGTGTAGCGGAGAAAATAAAACAATACCAAGGTTCTCATTTTGATGTATTATTAATAAAAATATCAAAAATGTAAACTTTGAGTTTTTCTGTGCATATTGTGACACAATATGCAATAGTTACGTTTTTGATATATTGATTAACAATAAATCAAAAACGAAAATTCTTTGAATTTCCCTGTTACGCTCCAAGCAATAGAAATAAAAAAAAATATATAAAAAAAAGAGCGTTATTACGTTACAGAGCGCATTATAACGAACCCGACAAATATAATTTTATTTGTGTGGGTTTGCTGGTTCAAGAGTTATTGCAGCTTGAGCTTTCTATGTTTTACTATTAAATTAACACTGATCTACAGTATACTATCGCTATAAAAAATCTTGATTAATGATCATCATTATATGACCTGCACTATGTTTGAAATTAGGCCGATGTTATACACCCCAATAATACAAGCTAATAAAAACCTGTATCTAATACTAACAATGCAGCAGTCATTACAAAAACAGTCTATAAAAGATCATGCGTGAGAAAACTGATCTCCAAAATTAGTGTTATGATCTGTACAAACGCATAATCCAATCAACTTAATGATTTTGCTTCGGTTTATTTGTGATCCAATCAGGGCAATTGTTACTGTATTGTTTACTTACAAATAATTGCACAAATATCATAACGAGGTTATATATATATAGGGCTGTGCAGAAAATTCATACATATATATAGTGCATTCTATAATTTTGTAATGGTAGAAATAGGAATTTTCGTTATCGTTTTAAACATTTAAACAATGAATAAACAAACAACAAAATGACATCTATAATAGTATTCAGTTTTTTAAATTTTATATTATTTTTAAGTTTATCCATACATTGGTTTATGATATCGATAAACCATCAAAACCCGAACTTATTTGATTACTATTCTTCATCAAAAATTCAAAATATTACAAAGTTTGTTAATACTTTAATTGGAACTGCTAAAGGTGACTTTCATAATTTCAATAAATACTTCGAATTGAGATGAGCAATGTGCAGTTTTTGCATCATATATGAGCGATCATAATTTAGAACTAACACAGTGCTAGGACTCCTAATGGGCAACTCACTTATGGGCTACCCATTAGAAGCCCTATATAATGTGGCATGAACATTAAGGTATTACATTCATTTACTTAATTCTTGTTTTTTTAATTCTATCATTTTTTACTAAATTTTTTTTTTCATTTAGAAATATTGCTAACGATTTGAATTACGTGCAGATGGGCACGTATTTCCTGGACCATGTCATCCTTTTGGAGTCGTTAAATTAGGTTTTGATACTGATAACATATATGATTATAATGCTGGGTAAGAATATATCACTGCTAAGAACCGTGACAACACTGTGGCTGAGATTGGCTGATGCTTAGAATTGGACCTATTTAATATGAATTTTAAGTGTAATTTTTTTTAGGTCAAGTTAGGACTTAGGATTAGGGTTGCTAATAAGAATACAAATGAATTTAACAGATTTACTAGATTTAAATAGAGTCCAAATCTTAGCTTTAGTTTTAGCCAATCTTGGTTTCAGCCGCCACAATAATTTTTAAAAGATCATTAAGTAAAAAATTTTTGACTTTAATAGATACACTACGGATGGAAACATTACAGGGATTTCTCGTACGTATTATTTATAAGCTACATACATTTCAGATGTTCATAAGTCGTATATAGTATATTTATCATTTAATTATATTAATTATTATTTGTAAAGATGTACATGTTAGTGGGACTGGAGGTAAGTGATAAACATAATCTTACATCATATTATATTTTATTATTTTACTTATTTTAAACCAAATCCAGGTGAACCAAAATATGGAGTGATAAGTCAATTCCCCGTAATAGATTCATTTGAAGATCCAATTAATTTACGCCATTACTCTTCTGAACGATCATTTGAATATTTTGAAGTTGGTTATTCAAAATTTGGATTAAAACGTTATAATATTACGGTTGAATTAACTGCTAGTAGAAGAACAGGTCTTCACCGTTATACTTTTCCTCAATTCAAAAATATAACTAAAGTTATTATTGATTTGTCTCATAATCTTGTTAGTTTTAGGTATTTTTGTTTTATCAATAGATAAAATATGTTTTTTGTTATTATTTGGTACCTAATTATTAATAACAAAGTTTTTAGAGCTACTTCAGAGTATAATGGCGGTTCAATTCAATCTATTTCATATAACCAAGTAAAAGGCGCAGGTCGTTATAGTGGTGGTTGGAATAGAGGAGGTCCTTATGTAGTTTACTTCTGTTCCCAATTTAATACTAACGCTATAGAATTTGAGACCTGGAGGGATAGGCACATTGGAAGAATTTCAGAATATTCTGATGGAACAACTTATTTTAATAGCATTAATGGTGTTATTCTAACGTTTAACGTTACCAAAAATCCGGTAATTATGTCGAGAGTTGGTATTTCGTTTGTTTCAGTTGATCAAGCTTGTAAGAGTGCTGAAAGTGAAATACCGGATTGGGATTTTGAAAAAACTAAACAAGAGGCTGTAAATGCTTGGCAGACCGAGTTAGAAAAGATAGATGTTGATGGAGGAACTGATGATTTAAAAACCATTTTTTATAGTAGCTTATACAGAACCATGATTATCCCTAGCGATAGGTATTTTTTTTTCATTAATTTTATATAATATATAATAGTCTTTCTTATTAATAAATTATGTTGATAGAACCGGCGAGAATCCAAAATGGGTATCATATGATAATAAAAGTAATATAATACCACACTATGGAGATTTTTACACTTTGGTATGTTTTTATTTTACAAACTCTGGAAAAAAAAATTGAAAAAACTAATCGAAGTAATTAATATTTCAATAGTGGGATACATTCAGGTAAATTCATAACTACATGAATTAAATAGATATAAATATTGTAAATATTGTAATATGATAGTTAAGATAATTCATGAATGTAAATATAGAACGACAAACCCGTTATTTACACTTTTCCAACAAGAACGAGCCGTAGATATTGTTAGATCATTAATTGATATCTATCAGAATGAAGGATATATGCCCGATGGAAGAAGTGGATTAGCAAATGGAATTACACAAGGTGGATCTAATGCTGATATGGTTGTGGTAAGGTTTAAAATCATTATTAATATATTAACTATCATTAACTAATTTCTAATAAAATAATAACTTGGTTTAAATTTTATCTATTTCTTAGGCTGAAGCGTATTTAAAAAAATTGGGTACCAACGTAATAGATTGGGATCTTGCTTACGAAGCCTTAATAAAAGATGCAGAAGTAGATCCGGGGTATCGTGGGTTATATGAAGGTCGACTACATTTAACAGATTATAAAGAATACGGTTATATACCTTTTCCAGGATATGTTGTGGTAACATATGCACATTCGCCTTGCAGTAGAACTATAGAGTATTCTGCTAATGATTATAGCATCAGTCTCGTTGCTAAAGGTAAAAAAAAAAAATTTTGCGTGTTTGAATCCTTTAAAGTGACTTTATTGTAACACAATTTTTTAATTTCTTTTATTTCTTTTATTTCTTTTATTTAAAGGTTTGGGTAATTATGATGACTATATGAAATACAAATTGCGAGCAAGAAGTTGGGAAAATCTATGGTGCTCTAGTAAGACTTTTAATGGTAAATAATTAGAAATAAATTTATTTTATTTTATACGTTAGATAAATATTTACTAACCTTAAATGTTATCGTAAAAAGGTACAAAAGGATTTATTGTACCCAGATATAAAAATGGTACATTTTATACAGATATGAACATTTTGGAATCATTCGGGGGAGATTATGTATTTTATGAAGGTACTTCATGGGAGTATAGTTTGGATATACCTTTTGGTACGTGCTTTGTAAAAGCATTATGCTTTGATGTTTATTTTCGAAATTTTAGAGTTTATTTCATCAAATTATTATGTAATAGTTATTTCGCGTTTTGTACGGATCAGTCGAAATATTATTTAATATTGTGGCATAGTCACAATGATGCATGATATCGAGACTGATCCGGGATGTTTCATAATGTCGACGACCAATACGTGTAATAACTAATTATTATTCCACTATGTAACTATTAATTATCTGTCATTATTTTAAAAACGTAGATGTTAAAAGATTAATCGAATTATCAGGAGGCCCAAAACAATTTGAAAAACGACTTGACAAAACATTTTCCAATAAAACTTATCTAAATGAATACTTTAATATAGGAAATGAACCTGATTTCTTTCATGTTTGTTTATATCATTTTATTGGAAAGCAATATAAAAGTGTTGATGTTATTAGAGATATTTTAAGAACTAAGTATGGAAGTGGACAGGACGGAATTCCAGGTATGTCATAAATTAATGTCTATTACAAATAAATAATAAATAAATAATAAATCAATAATAAATCAATGAATAAAATTTATTATTATTATTTTTTAATGAATAGGAAATGATGATTCAGGAGCGATGGGAAGTTGGTTTGCTTTTAATGCAATCGGATTATTTCCACTGTAAGTTATAAATCATTATTTGTTATAGTATTAATATATTTATTCTATTTCCATTCATTGGATAATTAATATTTTTTTTGTATGTAAAAATAATAGTGCCGGCACGGACATATATCTAATAAACTCACCACACTTTGATAGAGTAACAATAAAACTTTCACCACAACTAACATTCACAATTTTGGCTTATAATTTAACATGCGAAACTCACGTAAATCCATATGTTCAAAGCGTAAGGATTAATGGTATAAATTGGATGAAAACATGGTTTAGACATTCAGATATCGCCAAAGGGGCAATTATGGAATTATTTATGGGTCCAAATCCAAGTAAGGTTTGGGGTGTTGTTGGTGAAGATGAAGATAAAATTAATATAGAAGATAGAGTTGTACCCCCTAGCATGAGTAGTATCGAGAATAACGATGAACATGCCAACTACATAGTTGCAGATTATTGAAGTTGTAACCTTTTAGATGACTTTTATTTTATTTGAACTATTAGAATTTAAAACATATTATAAACTTGCTAATTAATAATTAAAATTTATAATTTATGAACATTGTGTTGGACCGAATTTATGTACGTACAAAATTGAGAATTATGTTTCAAAGTAGCATGAAAATAAATTATCCGCATTAATTAAATTCTAGTTATTATTTATATAACAGTATGAACAAGTAATGTTACAAATAATGTTACAAAAAAGTTTTTTATAATTTTGTTTCTTATATTTTTCTGCTTGTTGTAATAGATTTTGAATTTTTAATGAAATTAAAATTTTATACGTAGAACTTATTTTATGCATAACATGAACGCCATCATTCTTAGCTGCATTTCAAGCATTATGAGAAACACATACGCGAATCGGCGGAATTGGGCCTTAGCTAGAGATCGAATATGATTGTCGCCAAAAGAAAACCCGAAAATTTAAATATAAGTCATATTTAAATTTTCGGGTTTTCTTTTAGCGGCACTCATATACAGAACGATTACTCTGTTATACTCTAATAATTTAAACTATACTTAAATAATTTTAAGGATAACTCTTAAAAAGATAATAATAATTTAAGGATATAGTGATTATGCGAAATCATCCGTCAAACCCATCTGTCCTAGCCAAAACACATCAGTTTCCTATTGTTTAGAGCTTTACTTAGACCACTCATTTGACGTCTGAGCCTTACAAAGACATTTCGCTTGGTATGACATTTCTTTATAAAAAAAATTTGTTTGCTAGTTATTAGTAAAAAAGAATAGTAGCTTTCTTTTAATTATGAGTTTATCATCAGCTTCGTCACAAAACTTAATGTCCATTTTTTTGGTTGTAACTTTTTATTTATTAGCGTTAGTTTAAATTTTGCGGCAAGTGTAATGTCAAACGACCTGCTCCTTCATAAAAAATTATAGAGTATTAAATCCACCACTGCTTGTTTCCGCATATTCGCCCATATGAACTGTGTCACATGAAGAAACCAACTAACCAACGTGCATTTATCAACAAACCCGTTATAGCAATGTTGGGAAATTGGACAGTTTTGGTTTTTGGACACTACTGGTGTCTTTGCTTTTTTTTATAGTTGAGTTTGTATGTATTTGAATTATCATGATTTCTATCATACGTTATTGTAGAAATTTTTTATAAAATTTGCTAGTTATCTAGTAATATGGAGTTTGTGGTTAAGGTTTAGCTTTTATCAGAATTATCACGAATTCTACTATGAGTTACTGTATAATAATTTAGTAATTTGGATTTTTGGATTGTGATCTATATTAAGCAAGATAATACTAAAAAAGTTTAAATTCTTGCAATGTTAAATAAATCTATACAATAACACTTAGATAAGCATAAAAAATCAATATATATCAATTTATTTATATTTTTAATTATATAGATAATATATATTTTAAAATATTACTATTTTTATATAGTTTTGTTTTGAATAGTTTTGCTCAGTTGCTTAATATATTATATTAAACCTGATTTCATATCAATTACCTTTATATATATTGAATAGATTTCTAGATAGTTGATATATTCTTGGTTATCTCAATAAATCAACAAACTTCATACTATGATTTCTTTTTGGTTATTATATTTCTAGAGGATGGATTTCTACTGAATGTTTGAGTAGATTTTTTTCTTTGTACTAATATATTATTTATATTAATATATGTTATAAAACTAGATCAAACATTGTAGGTTATTTTGCAAAAATTATTTGATATAGTCTTTTTTTTGAATTTTTACAATACCTATTTGAAAATATCAATAAAATATATGTTTAATGATATTATGAATATTTTCATTATCATCTATTTATCAAGTTGTAAAATATAAATATATTTAAATAAACTTATGTTGTAGTAAAATTTATTTTATAAACTTAGGATATAAACTTAGATTATTTTGCAAAAATTATTTATTGATATAGTCTTTTTTTTGAACTTTTACAATACCTATTTGAAAATATTAATAAAATATATATTCAGCTGCTGAAAATTTAATACTATATCTATAATCTGTTCTATCTTTCATTCTGTAGTAAAATTTACTAGCGTCAATATGATTTTTGAAATGAACGTGGGCGTGACTATGTTTAATGATATTATAAATATTTTCATTATCATCTATTTAAGTTGTATAATATAAATATATTTAAACAAACTTGTGTTGTAGTAAAATTTATTTTATAAACTTAGGATATAAACTTAGATAATTTAACAACCTATTATTTCTTAATATTATTCTTAAAAATTTATTTAGTTATTTTACATATTTTTTTTATTTCTATTTATTGTATATAGGTATATATATATAGTATATATACATTTAGCTTTTATATATATTACTAATTGTAAAAAGATAAGATAAGTTTAGAAATTTAACAATTAACTAGAATTAGAATATTAAGTACAAATCAACATACTTTTAGTCAATATTTTACTTATTTTTTTAAATTTTAATTGAATGATACAATAATTAAACTTACTGATAAGCAAACAATCAAAATTTATACTTTAATTTTTTGGTTTCACATTATTTTTTCATAAAATCATCTTAATAATAAATAATAAATATTACAAAATTGTGATTTTGATATTAATCTCTGAGTTTTCAATATCTTATTAGAGTAAATATAATATAGTAATAAAATAAAGTTTTTTAAACTATATATTTAATTTTAAGTTAATTTAAATAATTTATTATTATTATTATAATAAATATATAAATAGTAAGACTCTTGTTTTTAATGAATTACTAGAAGGTTTTGATTTATATATTGTATCAATAAAATTTAACTTTAAAAAGATTTTAAATATATAAAGTTGATAATATACTTCTAATAGTATAATAAATAATGCTGAAATAAAATAGTGCTAAAAATATTAACTTATTTTAATATAAAATTTTAAAATTTTTAGAGAATATTTTTTTAGCTTTTTTTTGTATTAAGTTAGAGTTTAGAGCTAGTGTTTATAATAAAAAGTATAAGTAGATTTTAGTAGAGTTTATATTTCTAAATTGAGACCTTTATGTTTTTGCATCATCTCTGATAATAAAATATACTTCAAAAACACTGATTACATTAGTAAAAGAATATATTGTATTATCAAAAACTTTATTTTTTGCTAATATCTGATAAATTAAGTTATTATTTTATATTTAAATTATTAGCAATATTTAATTATTATTGTTTATTAGTTGTTAATATTTTTTACTATTTATACTGATTTGCTATTTATACTTATTTGCTACTTATACTTATTTGCTAATTATATCTATTTACTATTTGTTATTTATATTTATTTGTCATTAATCTTATTTTTATTAATACTTATTTGTTATCTTTATTTTACTTTAACTATCTTGCTAGTGATCCTTTATTAAGATTATTTTGTTATAAATATACAAAATGTTAAGCTTAATATTTAGATCTGTTATTCTACAATTACTTCTAAAAGCACTTACAAGTGACCAGCTACACTAAGCAAATATATTTATAAGCAACATATTCTAGTAAATTTACAGATAATTTCAAAACTACCTATCTTAGAAAATCTTGTCAGACTACTGTCCTACAATAGGATATTATTAATTTGATAACATCTTCTTAGGAAAGTAAAAATATCAAATAAAAACACTAACACTAATACTAATACTAAAAAAGAGAAAAAGAAAAAATAAAGAAAAAAAATCCAAAATTTACAATTATAAGCCTGTATCAGACTAATAAAATTATATATTACTAGATAAAGAAGCTTTGCATCTAACTTGATACTAATAATAAATATATATATCTAAAAAAATTTCAAAAAAATATACATAAACTAAACTGAACTAAGCTAGACAGAGTAGTTAAAAGACACCAATAGTTTCAAAGTATTGTCAAACAGTTTCTTTTAGTCAAGGTATATAACCTTTTTGTGTTGTTCATTAAACGTGCTCAGTTGCTTAATTTAGATATCTATTAATTTATATTTATTAAAAGTAAACAATCTGTTTTGAGAAATAAACAATACTAACTGTTTTGAAAAATTATATGTTAATCTTTTGGAGGAAGTAAGCTAAGACATCAACTTTTTGCCAAAATTGCCTCAAAAAAAGTAATAGGCAAACAAAACTTTGTGGGTTCTTTCTTATAAATTTTATAGTTGTATAAAGACTATCTCTAGTTTTTTTAATATGCTTAGTAGTATTATATTTTCAGAATACCTTTTTGATTTGAATGCCAAATATGATAAAGAAGTCTATCACAGAAGTTTGACCTCTACAAAAACTGTACAAAGTAGTCTGTTTCTTGGTTTTGCACTCTTGATACTTCATTAACAACACATTTACTTGTATAAAACCAAGTATATTATTACTCTTTGATATTTTTTATAACATTTTTCCATAGTTCAGATTTTTAAAGTTATTAACCAGAGGATTATCGAAAAGAATTAACTCAAATACTTATTGATTATTAATACTGATTTGCTGCTATTAATTAATAATATTTAATACTTAATTGTTAATAATACTTAATTGTTGATAATACTTAATTATTAATAACACTTAATATTTAATTAAATATTAATTATTGGTATTACTAAATCACACTAGTGGTGTTTAACACCACATCAATTTAACTAATAAAATTGTGGATCTGTAGTATAATGTCAAGATCAAGTGTAATGTAAAGTCAAAACAAATTTTATTTTTTTTTAAAAAACTTTAATAACTCAAAATTTGCTTATAAACCCACTTTTTGTGTTCTAATTAAAAAAATTTTTTGCAAAATTTTGAACTAAATTATGTCCTTGTCACATCCCAAGCCTCAATACAAACCCTAATATTAAAGAAGTTTAATTTTTAATTTAACAAAAATTGGTTTGATCTACATATATTACTGGTGTTAAACACTACTAGTTTGATTTATAATAACTGATTAATTATTATTACTGTATTTTATATAA